TCTCTCTCTCATTTAATGATAAAGCAACACTATAAACATTGCAAACAGGAAATCACCTGTCTTAAATAGAGATAAACACTATACTTTGTAGGGTGACAAAAATGAGACAATTTCATGCCACAAACTGAACAAAATGTAACTCAGTGCAGTCTGAGAATATGAAACATGTGTAAAATGAAGAGACTGGGTTTTGCAATGTTGACATTATTATTGGTATAAATGGAAAGTATCCTGTTAACAACCTCTACTGTATTTTTTTCAGTATTACCACTAAGGACAGTTCCCAGTGTGGTATAATGGATACAATCATGGACTAGGACTCTGGAGAACAGGGTTCAAATTCCCTCTTGGCTGCAGAAAGGACTCTGGAGAACAGGATTCAAATTCCCTCTTGGCTGCAGACTCACTGGGGAAGTGGAATTTGGAAAACCACTCCTTAAATATCTCACCTTGAAAGCCTTATCAAGGTTGCAATAAGTCAGTTCTGACTTGACAGCGCAGAACACACAAACCCCACTAAGTACATAGGTTACTACCTCTGCTCAGAATGTTCTTGTTTAATATAGTGATTACTCCCTTTGGTTTCAACATGGCTTATGCTTTACAAGGAGTTACTGAGATATGTCTTTGGGCTACTTTTAAAACAGCACCATTACTCATGCAACAGTGAGTTGTGTGAGCAGAAAGGAACAAGAGAATTAGCTGAAGGTTGTAATGGACAGCTTTACTCCTGCATTGTAGATGAGACTTCTTTTTTCTCAAGAATATCAGGGATGCCATTAATGATTTAATATTGGTTTACGTATGAAGAGTACCCGCAGCAATTAAAGACTGGGAAGTCAGTGGGCTGAATTTCATCAAGATTGGCTCATTCAGCTTTGAAAATACAAGAACTGCAGTTATGTGACTGCAATTGGATTATGAACACTGAAATCAATCAATCAATCTCAGGCAGCTAAGAACTGCAGTTATGTGACTGCAATTGGACTATGAACACTGAAATCAATCAATCAATTTCAGGCAGCTAGCACACAGCACAGCCCAACATGAAGTCTGACTATCCAGTCCTGCTCAGGTTTAAAGATGAAGAATCAGAAAGCAAATGCATTGTAGCTGAGCATCAAGAGTTAGTGAGGCAGCAAACAGAGAGCAGAGGAACTCTCTCTCTCTGTCTCTCTGTCTCTCTTTTGTTTTTGGCTGAGGTATATTTTCTTTTAGGGTGATGCATACATGAGTATACTGTGGTAAATCTGTCACATACAGAGCAGGACAGATGCAGAGGGGTATCTCTCTTGAAAACATGTTGAGCTGAACACTGTCATAGTTTGGAAGAGAGCAGTTGTTGCACGCACTGGAGAGAGTGTAGTGTTACACAAGATAACTACTTGGATTCTCCTCCTTTAGGTTTAGCTGGGGGCTTGTCATGTAGTACAGTTTTAACACCCCAATGGAAAAGGAAAAGCTGCTTAGAGACAGTTCCTAGGCAGCTGCCATTCTGAAACTTCCTATATTGTGCAGGAAGCTTGTCAGCTTGATGCATTGTTGGAAATACAAAATGGCAGCTGCCTGTCAATTTTTAGGTGCTGAAACTCAAGTCATTCTGCTGGGAAGATATTAATATCCTGCCCCTACTGTGATGCAGAAATATATGCCCGAGGATGATGCATGCTGATACAGGGCTAGCCTTGGCTGTTGTTCTGGCCCTCTTAATTCCTCTTACAATACAATTCACACATAAGGGATATATTTACTTGCTCCAATGGATAGAGTTGCCAGATCTGGTTGAAGTGTCAGGAAATTATGCTGCTTCTCCACATCTCTAAGTGGGTATCCTAAGGGCAACAACACTGGAAGAGAAGCTAGTTTGATTTTTGTGCATGAGGTGATTTGAAAGCCAGGGCCCCCACCTCCACCCTTTCCCAGTTGGCACCAGGCTCTAAGATGAAGGCATTAGTGTATGTGTTGCTCCAGATGGCACAGCGGGCCCAAGAGATTGGCTCTCTCTTTCCAATCCCTTTTCCTTAGTCCTGACTTTCTGGTGTACTAATGTAGAGCCCGTTGGGTTGTTTGCAGTAAGACAGAGCATGGAGCACCTCCAAAACAATTTATGAGCCCCCTTGTAGCACAACACTCAGCTGAAGTGGTACAAACTCTCACTCCCACCACCACCACTTGCCTGCTCTGATTCTATAATGTTATAAGAGCTCACCGTTGTCATATTGAAAGGACTCCCCACCTGGTCCCAGGTCTTTGTGGGCTACAACCCCCCCCCCAGAAGTCTGCAGGAATTCCCCCAGCCAGACATCTGGAGACTTAATCAAGAAATTAATTTCCCCAAAGGTGTTTTCCAGTTCTTAAGTTAACAGGTTCAGACCCCAGCAGACATTTTCATCATGCACTGAAGGCAGGGAAAATGGATGGACAGGGCTAAGCTTCATGGCAGCGACAAGGGATTATGAGTCTGGTTGTTGTTTTTTAAGAGAGAATTTCTGTGCAAAGCTAATGAGCAGAGACTTCCAGACCCATAATCCCTTGAAGCTCCCCTGCCCACCCATTTCCTCTATCTTCTTCACAGGATGAAAATGACAGCAGAGACTTCCAGACCCATAATCCCTTGTAGCTCCCCTGCCCACCCATTTCCTCTGTCTTCTCCACAGGATGAAAATGATTGCCAGAGTCTTACTTCATTAGTTTAAGAACTTGAAAACACTTCTCATGACTTTGTTTTCTTGATTAGAACCACAAGAAGTCTGGCTGTGGAGATACCTGCAGACTTCTGGGGGGTGTAGTCCACGAACACCAAAAATCACATGCCTACTGATGACCTGTTACAACTCTCTTTAGTCAGACCTTACTGGCTGCTATAAACAATGGCTGACTATCAAGCCTAACCAAATGTGCAGTATAGTAGTATACTGTTCAAAGAGTCACCAAAAGCAGTTGACAATTATCTACCAATTAACAGAGGCACGCCATAAATAATTTCTGGCAACTTGAGAGAAAACAAGGACTGAGTTATATCCAACTCAACTTGTTCTGTAAAGAGGAATTTCTGAACAATTTGCTTTACAGTGTTTTCTTAGTAAGGCCTCTGACCTCTGAATGTAAAGGATTTTTAGCAGTTTCATCTAAATCCAAAATGTTCACAAATAAATACCCCACTGGCTGAGCAAGGCTCTGGACAAGGCTTTTTCCTGTGTCAGTGAGCTCCTTCAATGAGCAGGGAAATCTAATAATATTTTCCAGGCACCCTAGGAGAGCAGCAATCAAAGTAGATATGATGGATGGGCTTTTTCCTGTGTCAGTGAGCTCCTTCAATGAGCAGGGAAATCTGATAATATTTTCCAGGGACCCTAGGAGAGCAGCAATCAAAGCAGATATGATGGATGTTTATTTATCATGTTTCTGTTCCACTTATACATGACAGTGAAAAGTTTACAACCAAACCTCTGTGCAGGTTAAGAGATCTGAAAAGAATTAACATGAATATTGCCAGATGCAGAACAGGAATTACATGAAGTGAATTTATATGAAAACCCCACTCTGAAGCCAACGGTGCTATTGATCTTTTGCTATCAGCTGTTGATGAAACTCTTTCAAGAAATTTATATGAAAACCCCACTCTGAAGCCAATGGTGCTATTGATTTTTTGCTATCAGCTGTTCATGAAACTCTTTCAAGAAAGATAATGGGCTGAAACCTTGCATAATTCTAGACAAAGACATTAGATTTTCTTGTAGCTGCTTTGTGGCATTTTTTTTCCTTTGCTCTTTGCCTTCGATCCAAGGAGATCTACTAATAGACATTTATTTACATTCCAATGTCTCTCAAATCATCTTCACACAGAACCTGTCTGATTCCATTTTACATTTCTCTGACTACATATCTCATCATCATGACATCCATGGACTCCAAGGCTGCCCTGGAGACACATGTTGAAACCTTGCATAATTCAAGACAAAGACATTAGATTTTCTTGTAGCTGCTTTGTGGCATTTTTTTTCCTTTGCTCTTTGCCTTCGATCCAAGGAGATCTACTAATAGACATTTATTTATTGGTCAAGAAAGAACCTGAATTGAAGACAATGAAAATCGATTCAATAGGACAGATAGCCTCATTGTCAGGGGATGCTTTAGTTCTAGTGACACAAGCAGGAGTACAGTAGATGGCATTGAAGCTGAAAGAACATCCCAACTATGGTTAAATATAGCAAAGGCATGCACTAAATTTGGAGCTCCATAATGTGTACCTATAAAGAAATGCATTGTCCTTTCAGCTGTTCTTGATTAGAGCCCTCACAATTCCGTATCATTCATAACACTGGCCAAAGCTTCTGGGTCTTCTAGTCCAAAACATCTCCATATGATCTCCAGCCCTGAGAGATCTGATATTGCATTGGTGATCCTGAGATTCTGGCAAAATGGACTTTGTTGCCAAACAGCTCAAATAATTTCTTTGAGAAGTCTAACAGTTGTAATGTGTCATGCCATGGGTGGGAGAAGGTGACACTTCAATACAAAAGAAGCATATCAAATGTTTCTTAGAGACCAGGGTCCAAAATGTGTGGCCCAGCTGTTGATGGGCTACAACAGTATTCAATCAAATGTTATTGGACTATGACTCTGAGGAGATTTAGCCAACATGACCAAAGGTAAGGTATATAAGAGTTGTGATCCAACATCTGGAGCATCCTGCTTTGATAATTTCTAGATGACAACTCCCATCACCACTAGCCAACATAGCCAATTGTGAGGAATGACAGAGCTGCATTCCAACAACACTTGAAGTCTACTCATTTGAAATGTCTTCCTTAGTTGTGTCACCTCTCACCTCCTTGCCAAATTGCTTTGGCAATTATGATCCATATTGATGGATCAAAGCACAGAAATACAACAATATGCTTGATCTAAGGAGTGCTCCCCCCCCCACATGCTAGTCAGTGGTTTTGCAATGATTTTGGTCTGTGATTTTCTTTCCTCTGCTCTGTTGCCTTTCTTAGATACACCAAAATGAAGACTGCCACCAACATCTATATTTTCAACCTTGCCCTGGCAGATGCCTTGGCAACAAGTACACTGCCATTTCAAAGTGTGAATTACCTCCTGGGAACATGGCCATTTGGCACCACTATCTGCAAGATTGTTATATCCATAGATTACTACAACATGTTCACCAGTATTTTCACCCTCTGCACCATGAGTGTTGATCGCTACATAGCTGTTTGTCATCCAGTCAAGGCTCTGGATTTCCGCACTCCTAGAAATGCCAAAATCGTCAATGTTTGCAACTGGATTGTTTCTTCAGCCATTGGCATCCCTGTTATGGTGATGGCAACCACAAAGGAAAGTAAAGGTGAGTGAAAATTCTATTCTCCATCTGTGCACATTTTGCTTTTTTGATGGGAGTCAAAATGCTTGGGTACTGACACTGGATTAGTCTCTCCAGACTCCAACCTACCAGAGGGTGTTGGATTCCCAGTCCTATCAGCTCCAAACTAAAATGGTAAATCGAATTCTCAACGTCTAGTGCCACAGCCAGATAGCTAAACCACTGAGCTATACATTTGAGCCTCCATAGAGAGCGCCAGGTCCAGAAATACCCCCAAGCGGTAGATCCAGTCATTCAGGAGGAGTGTAACTCTATCCACGCCAAGTAAACTTCCCTCTGACCGATCTGACAATTTTCCTAACAGCAATATCTCCATCTTATCCGGATGCAGTTTCAATTCGTTGACTCTTATCCAGTCTGTTATCAATGCCAGGTAGTGTTCAAGGACCCAAACAGCATCCTCTGCAGATGAAGCAAAAGAGAGATAGAGCTGCATGTTATCAGCATACTGGTGACAATGAACTCCAAAACTCTGAATGACTTCCCCTAGAAGATTTATATAGATGTTAAAAGCTTTGGGAGGATAACCAACACCTGTGGAACCTCATAACAGGGGTTTCAAGGGATTAAGACTGCATCCCCAAGCTATACCATCTGGGATCAGCCATCAAGGAAGGACTGGAACTAGAAAAAAGCAGAACCCCCAATCCCTAAATTTGATAGTCTTCCTAGAAGGATACTGTGGTTGAATGGCATCAAAGGCTGCAGAAAGATCCAGGAGCACCAACATGGTTGCCCTCCCCCTGTCAGCCACCTTCAGGAGATGGTCTTGCAAAGAAACCAGTGCTGTTTCAGTATAGTGACACAGTCTAAATCCTGACTGAAATGGATCCAGACTGTAAGTCTCATCCAATATTCCCTGCAACTGATCAGCCACCACACTCTCAATTAACTTGCCCCAAAACAAAATATTTGGAAGGGGTCTTTAATTATTTGCACCAGTTGTTATTAGATTAGTTTTCTTAAGAATGAGCCTTATTATGGTTTCTTTTAAACAGAAAGGCATAGTGGTTTCCTGAAGTGATGCATTGATAACATGAGTGGCCCATTCTACCACTGTATTCTTTGCAGATTTTAAGAGCCAAGATGAGCAAGGATTTACAAGAGAAGCAGTAGTTTTACAGTGTGCAAGTGCCTTGTCTACTTCCTCAGGCTTTACTAATTGAAACTGATCCAGTAAACCATGACTAGACAGTGCATTGGACATTTCAATCTGATCTACTGGACTAAAAGGGCATTTGAAGTCCCACCGGATGTTTTCAACCTTAGATCTAAAATGGGCTGCAAGTCAGTTGCTATTTTCTATGCTTGATTGTAATGTTTGTATTTGTCTGGTGCTGATGAGGCTGTGGACACTCAAAAGACTTCCACCTGTTGGTTAGAGACTTCATTAATCAAGATAGTATTATAAGCTCTTTTTGTTCCCTGAAGTGCATTACAGTATTTTCCAAACATCTTCCTGATTCCAAGGGAGCTTTGCTCCATTTGCTCTCTAGCTATCTTCTTACTTGCTTCATTGCTCTCTATTCATCCATGAACCATGGTGAGAGTCAGGCTCTGCAGTGAAGAGTGTGTATAGGTTTGATCGTGTCTACTGCCCAGGTCACCATTGAATACCAATGGGTGACCTGAGCTTCTACAGGGTACCACTAAACCAGGGGTATGACCTCCAAGGGCATTCAGGAAACTAACTGGATCCAGTAGCCTTTAGGGGCAGCTCACTCTAATGGAGGGGGATCACTGGGCAAAGTCCAAATCTCAGCAGGTGACAATCTGACATGACATGGTGGATGACACAGAGTCTACAACCTTCGGATCATCTCTCTGTCCAGACATGAATGCCAGGTCCAATGTATGCTATGCCACATGTGTAGGACCAATGGCTTGTTGGAATGGGCCCGTGGACACCACAGTGTCCATTGTGATGCATCAGACCCCCTAACGGGCTGCTGGCATTCAGTCAGAGAGTTCAACAGGCTGCCTACTTACCACCTTTACACCAGGGCAAGTCCCAAGACCTCAGCAGTGTGTAGCATAAGTCATTTGAACAAGTCTCACCTTAAAAGAACACTTTATTCTTAACCAGTATTTTGCAAGTACAGACACATGGGCTTTGTGATTCCTTAAAACTCACAACAGCTCAGTTAGGTAGCACTCTTAAAAGATAGCTAGTTTGTGACCCTCTCCACCTCCTGGATTTAGCCAGACCCTGCTGTTCAAGAGACCAGTCCTTTGTAGAATTTTTATGATTAATTTTTACTAGAAAAATAGAGTTTCATTAGAATAAGCTTATATTGCACAAGCATTAGGATCAAGAACATATTCAAAGATCACTGCAGTTAAATAAAATAACTATTTCCCATTTAAAATAAAAAAACACTAATTAAGCTAACTAAAGTCGGCTATAGTGGGCTAGCCCCACCTCCTTCTTTCTCCTTTGCTTACATCCTCTCTCAATCAAGTTCTTTCTCTCCCATCATCATGGAATTGAAATCCAGATCAGAACAACACATAAACCATTGAACCACTTTCACATAACCCATCATCCATTTTCTACCTTCCCAAACTCCTCCCTTTTTCTTGGCCTTTCTCGCTGTTAAACAATTAGCTTCAAGAGGCTGCACCACCTTCCGCCTTTCCTTATTCCCATGAGAGTCCAGGTGTTGTTTATCTCTTCTCCAACTAGTTTGGAATGTTGAGTCTTCCACAGGCCTCTCCCTTTGGCCTTCATCATTATCTCGAACCAGGCTGTAATGGTCTTCAGAAAAACACTCTCATGGCACTTAGAAAAACACATTCCCATGTCTCTCAAATCATCTTCACACAGAACCTGTCTGATTCCATTTTACATTTCTCTGACTACATATCTCATCATCATGACATCCATGAACTCCAAGGCTGCCCTGGAGACACATGTTTCCACATAAATGTTAAAGTTCCCAGAAGTAACAGTCTGGGTGACTTCAACAGCACACCCAAGAGGAAGTCCGTCAGCCCTGGTAGGGAAAGAACTGGGTTGTGGTGGGAGAGCAGTATGCCAAAGTGGTCCGCACTCTGTCCCACTGGTCCAACATCAAGTGCAGGCACTCCAGGCCTGGGCAAAAATGGGCAGACATTCTGCTGATCTTAATATAATTCCTATGGTCAATGGAAACACCCCCTCCCTGCATTTCTGATCTGCCCTGATGCTGTACAGAATATTCCAAGGGGAGAGAACAACCCCACCTTCCACACCCACATAGGGTTAATTAATCAACCAGGTTCAGGTTTTTTTTGGGATCTGCTATCAGATCCCAAATTAGCTCATACTTATTTTGAATCAACTTGACATTTAACTGTAGGATGAGCCTTTCAGAGGGTTGGCTGATAAGATTGCCTCAATTATGCTTGCTGGAAGAAGATCTAGAGCATGGAACAAATAATACACATCTGAGGTGCATTCTCCTGTAATGGCCTGTTTTCCTTCCAATGTCATATCTCCCCCTATCCGTTACCACAGATATGAGCTTGCTGCTGGCCTCCTCCATGGTTGGCTAATAGCCGGCACTTTCCTCCCTAATCCTCTTCTGATGTGAAAGAAGAATTAAAATCTAGCTTCACAAAGGTAACAATGATTGCTCTGAGCTCTAAATGAATTCAGAACACCAAACCATAGTTCCTATTCTTTCCCTATTAACAGAAATACCCTGCCCAGCTTTCAACAACAAAGGTCCCCCAAGCAAGATTAAAGAAATTAATTCCAACCAAATAGTATACATAGTTTACAATTGAATTAAACAAATAAGGCTTAAGATCCTATTAACAAATCAGTGAATGCCTAAATTGCTAAGGAGTGAGCAAATAACTCAGGGGGGAAAGGATAAAACAAACAATCCACAAAATAACAGTAATCACATTAAACAAAAGGTGGGGTTAGATTCTACTACAAAATAAGCTTAATTGTGTCCTGAACAACCTGCCAATAACAAACAAACAAAACCCCCAAATTAAATAAAATTGTCCACAAGACTGCAATTTACCATTGTATTCTTAGATGTAACATCTGTAAATTTCCCTAACTGTCACAGTATCATTCACCAGCAACCTTTTGGTGTTGTAGACTGATCTGATCTACATCAATTTGCCCCTGTGTTTGCAAATAACAAATTCCACAAACACTCCTCAGGAGAATTTTGCTGAGCAGCAGTAGCCAACTTTTCATAATAAAACAAGAAACGTTTCATACGGGATAGAATATCAGACTATTGCAAAAGTTTAGTCACTTATGTAACCTATGGAACTGCGATCTTGGAAAAGAGGGGAGGCATCTTGAAGCAGCTGGGAACAATATGGTTTCAGAAATTTGTGATGTTGATCAATATTACAATCAACTAAGTCTTCAGTTTAATAAGGTCTCCACAGTAGCTGGTCAAAGGCAGCCTTGCCTCCATAATCTTGCTCCTTAGCTCTATATCCAGAATTGCTTGGAAAAAGATACCTGAAATGCCATGAAACAGCAGTGCGTGAAGGCACTGTGAACCAAACCAGATCTACTGGAAGTTTCTGGCTCAGAATGTGTAGAGCACCTTGAAGTCATCATGCCTCACCTTTTCCCTCATTGGCCACTTGACTGAGCAAGAGATGCATACTGGAGGAAAGGGGAATACACAAATACCTCTTTGTGTGTTACAGAAGAAGGCAGAGCTCAAGAAATTTACATTTTTGGATTACAAGAATCCCTCTATCCTGATCTAGAAGTGTAACTAACAGAAGGCTCTGGAAAAGGGTAGGAGGGAGATGAATGGTCTCAGTGTGTGAAAGAGTCTGTAAATATTAATTGATCCATTGTTGGCACACATACCTCAAGAGGTTTCTACTGGAGAAATGTAGTCCATTGTGTGAAAAAAGGTTCCTCTTCCCCTCCTTTTCTTAATTAAGTGATGGTAGTTTTGAACAGTAGTACTGTTTATACTCTAGGTCATCTTTGTATTTAGTGAACTGCTTTGGAAAGGAAAAAAGGAAATATTTAACACTATGGTTGTTGTAGGTTTTTCGGGCTGTTTGGCCATGTTCTTGAGGTTCAAGAACACAGCCAGCCAGCCCAAAAAACCTACAACAACTATCAGATCCTGGCTGTGAAAGCCTTCAAGAAGACATTTAACACTATCTTTCCTAATACCAGTGAATGGCATTTCTTGTAATTCTGTTGCAAATGGTTTTATACTCCCCCCCCCAAGATGAAGAAAGTTGACATAGAAGAACAGAGACAGCTATGAATTTAAATTATTCAAAATATAACATTATATTTTGAGCAACACTTTAACCAAAAGTACTGCTGTTCAGCTTGTTTTGATGAACCTGCTTATGTAAAATGCACACAACACTTTTCCATGAAAATATATTCAATTGTCAATGAAAATCACTCCAGTAGAACAAATACTGGGAACGGTTATTCAGGTTTAGTTTGTTGTTGGATTGGCTTCCATTTCCTTATGATTTAGTAATGGGCTTGGATTCATGTTGGAATGGGGAGAAAAAGAGAAATCCAAATGAAACTGTTTGCTAAAAGTCCTTTCCTTTCCCTTTATTATAGGCTCTATTGATTGCACCCTTAAATTCTCTCACCCAGCCTGGTATTGGGAGAACCTGCTGAAAATCTGTGTTTTCATCTTTGCCTTCATCATGCCAGTTTTAATAATAACTGTGTGCTACGGTCTCATGATTTTGCGCCTGAAGAGTGTCCGAATGCTCTCTGGCTCCAAGGAGAAGGACAGGAATCTTCGGAGGATCACCAGGATGGTCCTGGTGGTAGTGGCTGTCTTCATCATCTGCTGGACTCCCATCCATATTTACGTTATCATTAAAGCCTTGGTCTACATTCCAGAAACAACATTCCAGACAGTCTCCTGGCATTTCTGTATTGCTTTAGGGTACACAAACAGTTGCCTTAACCCTGTCCTTTATGCATTTCTAGATGAGAACTTCAAAAGGTGTTTTAGAGAATTCTGCATCCCAACAGCTTCAACCATTGATCAACAAAATTCCACCCGTGTCCGACAAAACACTCGTGACCACGCCTCCACTGCCAACACAGTGGATAGAACTAACCAGCAGGTATGACTAGCAGTGGAGGTGTTATCTCTGGATACAAGAATACCACCACGAGATGACATGAATTCTGAAATCACAGTCTTTACTGATGTGTAGCTCCTGGAAGACCTATGGTGCCCATTTGATTTATCTTCCATAGCTGGGGTGGTTTGCAAAGTTGGAAAGACAAATCTAAACTGAGCTGGCTAGACACCTTCAGCCCTAACCAAGAAGCCAGAGAGCTCTCAGATGCGCCTTTTATGGCTCACTCTTGAATCAAACCATTGTTTTTCAGTAGATAAGAAATGAGAGAGAAGCTTTTATGGTTTTCAACCTGAGAAAGTTTGCTACTACTCAAGAGTCTAGAACTGTATATTTTCAGAGTTGCTTGTACTAAACCAGAACACTGGCCCACGCCACCCAGGATTTTCTGTATAGCTAGCAACTGGCCTCACAGCCAGCTTTGCAGATACATTAATAGTCTTACTCATTTATACCCCTAATTGGTAGCAATGGTGCACTTAATTGTTGCTACACTCTGGATTTAATGGTCTTCTAGAGAGTTTTGCATAGTTAATGTGCATTGAAGCCAGCTCTGCTGTCATTGGGGTTCCTGTGTCACGTTCTGCTGAGTAGGGCAGGTGGGATCTACCCTAAGGCCCTGTTCTGACAGCACCACTGATTGATAGACTGTGGTGCTATCAATTAGTGATGCTGTTTGACATCATAAACTTTCTATCAATATAATATTTTATGCCCATGATTCTAATTCTATTAGCATGCTTAGATTTTGAACAAATTACCCTTTCCCTGAATTAAGGATGGGGAATCTTTGTATCTTGGAGATGTTATTAAGTACATATGTCACTCTTTTATCCTTGGCCACTGATCTCATGATGTTCAGTGATGGGAGCTTTAGACCAAAACCTCTGGAAGTTCAAAAGTTCCCCTCTAAAATTATATGTCTAAAGGTACCATCTGTTTTACTCTTTAGCTTCTCCCTTCCTTGCCTTCATCTCCTTCTAGGGACAGTTTCTTCTCCTTCCTATACATCACAACCGTAATGGGGTCACATCAGATATTCACTGGCCATGAGTGCTGAAAATATTGCAATGATGGCAGAAAAAAATGGCTTCAGGTACAGTGGCAGCTAAGCAAACAGTCGACAACAGTGCTCTGAGTGAAGAGATACAGGGAAAAACAAGTGATGTAGGCACAAGAACCTGCTTTGTGAGCAGAACTGGGATTTCAGATCTAAGAGTCAAATGTTTCAGACTGGGGACTTCTCCGAATTTACCTGAATTAGATATACAATTTGTATAAAATTTTGATAAATTTTAGTACTAGTGGGATGTGCTTTGAATTCAGATGAAGCTGGAAGATGATCTGGGCTGCTTTGGTATTTGTTGAGGTGAAGCAGCATCCTTCTGAATTGGAGCTGTTGGAGGAGGGATACACAACACTCAGACTACAAGCCATTGCTGCTTCTAAAACAGCCCCAACCTCAACTGAATTGGGCCTGTAGCTTTGTACAATATCAACCATTCAGAAAGACAGGCCATCAAACAAACAACAAAAGGCCATTTATAGATTTCATCAATGTGGAAATGTTTAGGATAGAAAAAGGGAGAGAGGGGGTTGGATTGAATGAGTGACAGACCCATCTGTATATTTTATCTTTCCAGTTATTGTGCATTTGGCTTTAGTAAAGATGGGTGAGTGAGATGATAAGCCTTCTGTTGCCACCCTGTTTTACTGTTTAAGGACCTGTTCAGATATCATAACTCATGAGGTCCTGCAGCTATCCTTCTAGAACTTTGCAGCTTTCTTGCCTGGAGACCATCTGTATAATGCACAGGTAAAACCCCCTACCTCTCTTTGTTGATACATTGTGGGGCTCTTTGTCCTTAATAAGTGGAGAACCTACGATGGACAGAGTTTGGTCGCACCCAGCAAACCACCTTTTCTTTCCAAAAACTCTTTGTCAGATAGATTACTACTGGGAGCAACAAAAAGCAATATTATGCCTTCTATAAAATAATAAAAATTCAAAGGATACTTAGATGTGTAGAGAGAAATTATATACTATTATTATTTTGTTTGTTGGGTATCCAGAGTGGCGTAGTGTATAGAACGATCCGCGAGGAGTTTGGAGAACAGAGTCTGAGTCCCTGCTTAGCCATGGAAACTGACTGGCAGAGTGGAACTGGCAAAACCACTCCTTAAATATCTCACTTGCCTTGAAAACTCTATTAGGGTCACTATAAGTCAATTCCAACATGAGAGCACATAACAATAACAACATTTTGCTTATTACATGCAACTGTGAATGAAAATCCTTCTGTTGGCAAATAAGGAGCTCAGATTGTCATTAGTAACTATTAACAGTGCTTAGTGGCTTGTTTTCTATTCAGTCATTAATATGATGCTCCAGTAGTTCTGACTATACTCTTATCCCAATATGCACCTTGATAACTAAGGTGTTTTGGTCCACTGAGGCAATGCCTTTCAGGATGCATGGCCAGTATGTGCGGCTTTAAGTTAGTGGTGTTTTAATTCACCTGGTTAAAGGATAGCACCCCTAACTTAAAGCCATGCATATTGGCTTGGTCTCTCTTTATAACCATTCCCACTTATTTTTTATTCAACTTCATCATACATTTTGCCGTCCATCATTATATTTTCCTGCAGTACAAAAAATAAGTAGAGTCATACATAATACACTAGTAAAACTGGACATAAAAATGTAAAGCCAATGCATTATTCAGCTTGATTAAACATGTGATGCCTCATTCTGTGGCTGAGCAATAAGGCAGAGATTAGGACACCAATCAACCAGCCAATAAATAAATAAATGAATAAATGGGTTCTGGCACTAACATTGAAATATGGATACCTTATTATGGCCTTCTTATGTTGTTCTCACCAGAATGGCTTTCAGAACTTCCTTGAACATCTGAAAATGCCATATGAAGACCCAGATACTATATGTCAAGGATCCAGGGGCAATTTGGTGTCTCCTTCTCTGGATGGACATCTGGGGATTTTTCAGCTTAAATGTTTCACTTAAAACTTGTTCCTACCAGAAATACAGTTAAGAATTAAGGGTCTCTCTAACCTTAGAGGACCACTGCAAACTATTTTGCTATTAAGTAGCAAACAATTTATCATATCTAGGAGATCTTCAAACATATGCTTTGGTGTGGGGTGGAGAGAAAGATCAAAGACCTCAAAGGGGTGAGATCCAAATGAAGCTCTGATATTTGGCTACATGACTGTAGTGCCTGCAGAGAGCTTCAGAAAGAGGCTTCTTGCATATTAAGCACCAAGCCAGATGAAGGTTTTATACATTCAGTCAAGGCATGGGCACAGAACTCACTAAGCAGTGAGTGACAAAGGCACATCAAAGCAGATTTTTTGAAAAAGACCTTCTAAAGTGTAAGTTTTTTAAAGCAGTGGGATTTAGCTGTTCTAGTCAGCAAAACCAACAGGGAGACTTGGGGTACATTAAAAGTTAACATGTTTTATTCAGCACAAGCCTTTGTTGATTACAAGCCACTTCCTCAGATGTATGACAAGTTTCCACATCAGGCTGGAATGCCAGGAGTTGGGGGTGTATGTAATAGGAATGCACCAGCAGTGAAATGAGCTTAGTTAATAGTCAATTAGCATTATTCAACAGTTATTAGCAGGTAATTACACCCATGCATAGACAAGGTGATTAGCATATGTACGTATATAATATGACTTGCATCTGGTGAAGTAGACTGAGATTTGTGAGGGGTTAATGATGGTGGTCTGTCCTGTTGTAACAAAACTGACAAAGAATGTTGTGGCACCTTAAAGTCTTCCCTGGTTGCTTTTGTTTGGGTTTTGTCATATGGTGGTCTGTCCTGTTGTAACAAAACTGAATGTTGTGGCACCTTGAAGTCTTCCATGGTTGCTTTTGTTTGGGTTTTGTCATGTGCTTTTGTGGGCTACACCCATGTTATTAGATGCATGGATTCTCATCCTGATTTTATTAGATGTATGCACACAATAGGTCAGTGAGAGAAAATCCCATATTCTTTAACTTAGTCCTTATTAATATAGTCAGAGGAGATACTTGATGGCTTTCTAGGAACTAAGGGTGAATGAAAGAAGTGCCCAATTCTATTGGATTGTGTTTTTTTCATTCACATCTTTATACCATGTGATGTATTCACAGTGTTGCCCAGTGTTAGCAGAGAAAGTCTGCAGTCAGACCTCCATGACATTTCAAAACCACTGAAAACAAAGGTTTTAGCCTATTCATAGGCAGAACTATCTACGTACAAAACATATGATCACTATGTGTCTGTCTCTGAGTGTAGCAATGTTAATATTTGTGTATTCTATATGGTATGTTTTATAGATATAGAAACCACATTTGTTCAACTAAGTGAAGGTGAGGTTGTTTACAAGACAAGGACTTTTCCTTCATATTCCAACCTTTGGGATTTAAAAGGAGTCTTGTTATTGCTGCTCATTTCACTTTCTGAGGATCTTGACCAATTTTCAAGTACAGTAGAATCTTGATGAGATGGATCTTCAAGACAAACATTGGCCAGTTGTTCAATCATGCTGTCACAAAGGAAGCTAACTATAACTTTCAGAAATGCTAGGGGTCTACAAATGAACTTTCCTCAGTTTATCAATGTGATCCATTAGGATAAGGAAATCTAGGCATTTTGGTGGGAAAGTGTGTGTGTGTGTGTGTGTGTGTGTGTGTGTGTGTGTGTGTGTGTGTGTGTGTGTGTGTGTGTAAAAGGACTGGGTGTGTGAAGATATTTCCAGGAGAGACACAGGATGGGTGGCAAACTTTCCACACTGAAAAGAGAGTTATGCTTAAAAAGCACACCTGTTTAATGGGCACATAAACATTGAAACTTTCCTGCTAATGTTCTGTGCTTTTGAAGTATGAGAAACAAATGTTTTTATATATGTGCAGCTCTGAAAAATGTCTCAATTAACCTTGCAATTGCCAATTTATCTCTGAAATTAATGCTTTACAAAGAGGAGAGAGGAGAATGTTACAATCTAAAATTTATTGCAGAGGAAACAATAGAGTTTCAGGGTGGGGGTGAGTGGGAAGAATGTGGGCTTTAGAAGAGTGACAAGAATGTGCATGATTTAGTAGGGGGTAGTGTCCAGAGCTTAGAAAATTTGAGTGTGGGGTACTCTAAATTCCACGTTCCACCAGTGGGAGATTCTGGCTATTGCAGTCCATAAAAAGTAACTTTTCCAAGGTCTAGTTGGGCCAATGCTTTAATGGGAAGGGTAGGTTTTAAGGACACCTTTTAAAAAAAGATACAGTGTGATGTGTTTAAGCTGTGTAGCCACACCAAGCAGAAGGGACAGGAAGGGAGAAAGAGGACAGTCTTTGGAAGGAAGAGGAGACTTCCGAGTGCCTGAGGTGATGAGGGTCTTTATGTGTGGCTGTTGTTTAACATTCACTTCATAAATAGCTGTGTGTAATTTTTGGCCCATTCAGAGTTCTGAGGCAAGCTGTTACCACACGGCTGAACAGTGGTAAGACATCTCCATGGCTTGACCACTGAGTGCATGGACTTTTAAAAGTGGTCCTCCCACCAAGTCATCCAGTTTATCACAAAGCCCTCCGTGATCTTAAAGCTCATTTGTGCTACCTCCTCCAGGGAGATGACTCTTCAATTTACATTGGAACTGTTCCAGCATCCTTGGCTGTTGTTGTTTTATGGTGCAATGGAAAGAGATTATTCCTGCCTTCTCACAAGCACGTTGCAGTTGCTTTGTTCGCTGAGAAAGGAGCAGCAAATGCCGAGCAAATCTTCCAGGCCTCCTTTGCAAGCAGATGGGTAGGGAAAGTAGCTCATTTCTCCTTGTATTTCTTTCCTTTCAGTTGGAACTTCAGGATGTTGGCACCACACCACTGCCGTGACAGGGGCCCCCTGCTGTCATAACAACCAAAGCCAGCGCCCCTGAGTGCTTGTACTCGTGGTGGCAGGAATATGCAGGGGAGGGTTTCTTTCACCTCCCTTGCCCACCCCGCCTTCCTCAGGCAAGGGCCTGCTTATAACGCTCACCTGAACAATATGCCTCTGTGGCAAATTTCCTCTGCACATTTTGGACACAAAGAACTTCAGAGCAGAGTCAGACTCAATGAGAACTTGCCACCCCTCCTTGAAGGTACTAAAAACAAAACCACGAAGAATATAATGGTTGCTCACACTGTGAACATGGGATTAGACAACTTTGATTTAAAGTAGATCCTGGCAACAACTGAACAAAATCAAATTAATTCCAAACTATTTCTGTCCTCCTCCCCTTTGCCTTCCCTCCTTCAAAAACAGTTGCAAGGCATGGGAAAAGATTACATGGGAGTGATTATCCCTCAGTGGTATGCCTAGTACATTTGCGTCAAGGGGATTTAAACAATTCTTTACCTATCCTCATGTTGGTATGCAAGATTTTGTTTTCTTATTTCCATCATATAATGGTCAATGGGAAAAAATTTTTATGAACTAGGTGCAGAAACAAAGATCAAAGCTACCTCTGAGACATTTAAAAAGAATATTAGATGAAACTGAAATCTTTCATTTCCAAAGAAGATTCTCCATCCACATTCTGTGTTGACCTGAAAACCACAAGTATCTTTCTCTTTATATTTACAAACTAGAAGACTGAGGACTCCCTTTGAGGTATGGACAAAGTCTAGCAAAGCTGTTAATTATGGCTGACTCTTCTTTCTAAAGCATCCTTGTAAGCAGAGCATCCTTGTAAGCTGTGTAAATACCATTGTTAATCCTTGAATAGTGCTTACCTTTTGGCAGTGAAATAATACAGTGATGTTGCCTTTTAAAAGTATCCATCCATCCACCCTATGTTCCATATAATTTAAATAGCTTACTTTGAAGAATCTGTGTATATTTACTTATAGAATAGCTAAGGTACATCTATATTGTAGTATATAAAATAGTGTGTTTGTGTGTGTGTGTGTAATCACATCTGTAAAGTAGCTAAGCATCCAGAAGTGTATTTTAGAACATTGATTTCTTAAGCAACAAGAAATTACCATTTTCTTTTAAAATGAAACAAGAATTCGATGTTCATACACAATACAAGGTTTTCTATTCCATTAACAATGCTGTCACCAGTGTCACTATCTTATGATAGTAGCTAAAGTAATTAACAGCTTACAACATATTCTACAGCATATTCTAGCAACAATCTCGTCTCTAGCATGAACAACAGTAAAAAAAGTCATAGATAACTTGTAGTTATATAACATTTTATACTTGTTGTTTAGTGTGTGCTATAATTAAATGGTCAAAAATTACCCAGGAAGCAAAAAGCATTTACATGAATTTGTGTGCACTGTAAAGAAAGTTATCCTCGTTGCTTCCTTTTGACATTTCTACCACTGTCTTTACATTTCTTCTTTGCTCCTCAGTTATGTAAGTAGTGCCTATCTAGTGTTTTAAGGAATACTTCTGTAAAGAATAACTATTCCTTGAGTGAGGAGATGAAGATCTGTTAATTAAGTAAGATCAAGTCACACTAACTGAATCCATGTGTACAGGTCTGTGTGAACACACATCCATGAATAAGTGCCTTATTTATCGCTTGTATCTCAATTAAGTTTTTTGGAATCGTATTTTTGCTTAACCTAACCAAATATGTTTATGTTGCCAGTTTTATTATTAATGGTTTTGATTTCATTTTTTCCCTTTTCATACAAAATAGTGCATTACAACAGAATGTTGCTGCCAGACATTTTTCTTATCAGGCAGCAGCATTTGATTCTAATGGATTTCCACCCAAATCCTCACATCACCACTTAAATAAGCTTATTAATTAATTAATTCACCTTTCAGATTTGACTCAAACTATTACCAAAAAAAAAGCAACATAAATGGGAGGGGAGAACTAGAATAGAAAGAAATAGAGTAAAGAAAGTGAGTGATGGGATCTGCAGCAGCAAACGAGTCAAGAGCCTTCATGTTATAGGTGCCCAGTTTTCTTGTCCATCAAAAATTGCAGCCCTTTCCCCAGGGCTCCATATGGCTTCTAGCAGCCAAATGTAAACACCCCTCCTGATAAATACCCCCCCAGATGAAACCAAAACCAAAACTAAGATCAGCATTTATAAAGGTCCCACAGATATTCCCTCCAAAGGGTAGGTTCACATATTATTTAGTTGGTTCCCCTTGCCCTCAAGGAGACACTCATTAGGTCCATTAGGAAGAAACTGAGCTTGGCGGCAGACAATATTGGTAATTATATGCCCATCACCAATGTTTCTTTCCTCAGCAAGGTAGTTGAGAGGGTGGTGGCCGATCAGCTGCAGGCTCTTCTGGATGAAACCAATGCCCTGGATCTATTCCAGTCAGGCTTCAGGCCTTGCCACGGCACGGAAACAGCATTGGTCACCCTGTTTGATTACCTACTGAGGGAGGCTGACAGGGACAAAATGACTCTGATGGTGCTTCTCGATATCTCAGCCGCCTTTGATACCATCGACCATGGTATTCTCCTGGAGAGGCTCTCTGAGTTGGGATTCAGTGGCCTGGCTCTGTTCCTTCTTGGAGGACCGTCCCCAGAGAGTGCAGATTGGAGAGAGTTTCTTGGCCCCA